GCATAAATATGGAAATGGAGGCCCAGAAAGGAGAATGACCTGGCCAAGGTCACCCAGATACTTAATGAAAGAGACAGGACTTGAATCCAGGTGTTTTGACTATTAACTCAGAACGATTCATACATGAATTCAAGTCATTGAACTTAAAATATATATATTGAGAGACTCAAGTTTACATGCCAAAGAGCATGAGCTGATTTTACGTCTCTACCTGAGAGAATGTGTGTGGGCTTGTCTGGGCTCTGGGCCCAGTCTCCTGGTTTGAGCAATTCCATCTTTTCCTTCAATTAGTGTCCTCGTCGCCTACCCGCCTACCTGCCCCTGGTCTCCCTGCTCTGATCTATGCCAGACAATTAAATCTAAAATGCTAATTCAACTTTAAAAAAATGCTGCTCCCTTCCATGGTTCCGCATGACCCCTAGAATAAAATCCAAATTCCTTAGCCTGACAAATGTCCCTTTGCTTCCCTACCCCAGCCCACTCCTTTGTGCAACAAACACAGTTTGTGTGCCAAACTGCTTCTGGTTCTCTTCACTCAACCTGCTATGTGTATCTCCATGCTGTAGCCTGGTCTAGTCCCTCTGCCCAGAACACCCTTCTTTGCTTTCATCTGATTATTCCTATTTCTCAAGCTTTGGTTTAGGCTTTATGTCTTCCAGAAAGCCAGTGGCCATCCATCCCCAGGCTAGGATGAATGCATGCCACTCCCAAGGGTTCCCATAGCACTTGACTGTGACATTTTGCCAAGATATTGAAGTGATCAGTTTATATGCCTGTGTCTAAGAATATGCTCTAAATTCTCCCAGAAGGCTAGGGCTCTATCTCTTCTCAGTTCCTAGAGCCTAGTACAACATCTGGTCTATGGAGAGTACTCACACATTGAGCTGAAATTCCACAAGGCTCAGTCCTTGGTTATCATCTCTGTCGATGCTCACTTGCTTCATGACTTTGAGCAGTCTTATGGCTTTAATATCATCTATATGACACTAAGTCCTGAAGTTTTCTCCCCAACTCACGCTTCTTTCTCAAATTCCAGACTCATATATCCAACTACCTACTATCCCTCTCCACTATCAAGTTTAATAGACATCTCAAACTCAGTTCAAAATTGAATTCCCAGTGTTCCATTGGCCCCAAGTCTGTTCTCCCCATGGCTTCCCCATATCCGTTAGTGATAACCCCATCCTTCCAGTGGCTCAGATAATAGCCCTGGAATCACTCTGGATTCCTCTCTTTCTTTCACACACCATGCCAATGTACTAGGAAATCCTGTTGGTTCTATCTGTAAGATATATTCAGAATCCAACCATTTCTCACCACCTCCATTGCCACACCTTGATTGTGTCGCCTTTGTCTCTCACCATGGCATTACTGCCATGGCCTCTGAACTGGTCTCCCTGATTTTACTCATGTCTTCCTATGTCTCTTCTCAACACAGTAGCTAGAAGGAGTATTGCAAAATAATGTCAGATGGCTATTTATCTTCTCAAATTTCTGCAGTGGCTTTCCATTTCATTCAGAGTAAAAGCCAAAGGCACTACATGGTCAGATCCCCCTTTACTTCTCCAATGTCATCTTATATTACTCTACTCATGTCACTCTTGGCCTCCTTGTACTCCCCTGATCTGGAACTTTCTTCCTCTAGATTTCTTCCACCATGTGTCTGCTCAAACCTTATCCTTTAATTAATGACTACCTTTCTACCCTATTTAATATTGGAACCCACTTACCTTATGTCCCTGGAATATACCATCTCCTTTCCTTTCTCCACCCTTTCTTTTTCCATGGTACTTGTGGAAGATTGTATCATCCAAAGATTGTATTTTCCAATATCTCCTGTTCTGCATTCTCTTTTAGAATCTTGCAAATGCCTCTCTATGCATCAAGAGATGGAGTCTAATTCCCCTTCCTTAGACTATAGGCAGTTATTACTTGCTTATGACCAATACAATGAGGTAATAGTGATGCTTTATGATGTTCAAGTCTAGGTCACAAGGGATGATGTACTTTCTACCTTATTAGCTAAGAGACTTGCCTTTGAAACTATGAGCTACCACGTAAGAAGTCCAACATCCTGAGGCTACCATGCTGTGAAGAAGCCCAGACCACCCGAAGAGGCCATGTGTAGGTGTTCCAGCTGGCAATCCTACTGAGATCCCAGCAGACAGCCTGCAGCAATCACTAGATATGAAAGGAAAGACACTTTCTGATGATTTCAGCCCCGGCCTTAGAGCCTTCCATGTCAAAGTTTCAGACACCAAGGAGCAGAAGCAGACCCAGTTGTGCCATGTTCAAATTTGTGACCCACAAAATCAATGAGCACAATACATTGTTTGTTTTGTGTCGCTAAGATTTGGGGTAGTTCCTAACACAGCAAATAGTCTGTTTCACTGTGTAACATACTACATGAGTGGGAGGAGGGGCAAAGGGAGAGAGAGGATCTTGAGCAGACTCCCCACTGAGCACAGAGCCCCATATGGGACTCGACCCCTGAGATCATGACCTGAGCTGAAATCAAGAGTCAGACACTGAACCAACTGAGCCAGCCAGCCGCCCCTGAGAGGTCAACTTGTCAAACCCACTCATTTGTATGAAAACAAAACAAAACAAAACAAAACAAAACAAACCTGAGCAGGAGCAACAGGCAAGAAAGAACACGTAGCATGTTGGTTTGACAGTAGGATTAGAGGCCCAGGAACCTTATGTCTACAACAGAGCATAGTCTTCAAGCAGACCTGTGACTCATATGCCTGTTATATAGATTCCAGACATCATGGGAGCTTTGATGATCAAAGTAACATCCAGCTCGAGTCTAGGAAAGGGGACGGGCACATTGTGGAAAGATTCCCATAAAGTAACGCTTCCCAATTAACCTCCAGTTAATCAGAAAATGTAACTAGAAGCTAAACATCCCAGATAACTGATTAATACAATTTGAACAGATTGAACGCAAGGCTGGTCTAGTTAGCGATGTTTCCGTTTGGGGTCTAAATGATGGAACAACATGCACAGTTTTCTCTCTTACTATGTAAGTGGACCGTTTCCAGGTTAGAAAGTTTAGAAAATTCAAAAAGGCACAAAAATAAATTTTAAAAATCAACCCAAATCCTATCACACAGGGATGGATACTTTCAAAAAAGATATCATTCTGGAAAGAAAAGTACTAAAGGAGTCAAATGTATTTGTATTTTTGTTTTCAGATGTTAGACCACAGGTTCTAGAATAGTGTTTCTCAGTCTTTGACTATTTGTTCCCCTTTTGGATAAGTCAGCTGTCTCCCTTAATGCTATTCAAACCTTAAAACAAATGAAATAGTAGGGCTGATGACCTATTAAACCATCATGACACTGAATGTGCCTTTACCAACAGCACTTTCTCTCCTGACATTCACTCGCCAGTCAGAGCTACATAGGTGTGCATAAGCACGTGTGTATAACACTTTCAGGGGCTGGGACTATTCAACAAAACCCCTAGGAAATAAGGCCCAGGGACGGGAGGTGATGAGACAATCTCCTTCAACTATTATCCCAATTTCCTCCAAAACTTATAGACTGAGCATATGAAAAATGCTCTTTTCCTTGGACCATATTTGAAATTAAATGTACATTCTCTTGAGCTGGTCATTACTCCTATCCATTGACATAAATGCTTTTGTTCTCATAAGTGTGTCAAACATGCCCCCTGCCACCATGTTTTATACTCTCCTAGTTTTAGGACCAGACCGGCCCCTTAGAAATCACCTTATCCAAACTCTCCACTCAACTAATAAAGAATCTCAAAACTCAGGGAGCAAAATGATATGCTAATATCACACGGTTTATTGTATTGGAATCTGGCTGTCTGGATCCCAGTTTAGCACAATTTCATGACCTCATACAGCTTGTGAAATACTGCTTTGTAAGCTTTTTCTCAGAATATAGTCTGAGAGATAAACTTAGTCTGCATTATCAAGAATTCCAAATGTGTAGAGTCTGAGTCAATGCGTCCCATTGCACACAGTGTAACTGAAGCAAGCATATTTGGGGCACATGCTGCATGTGAAATAAAAACCCACAAAAAAACTAGTACATATAACTCAGAGCCTGGCATACAGTAGATGCTCGAAAGATATTTTGGGAAGGAAGGAGGAGAGGGAGAGAGAGAGAGGAAAAGGAGAGTCAAAGAAAGAAATGCTTGTTTTCAGAGCTGGCTCCAGGAGGAGGCTTGCAAAATTCCTCTGGGGGTGTGAGGTGCTCTTTAGTTCAGGAAAACAACTTAATGAATTTTTCCTCCTATTTTACTTCACTCTTTGTAAAAGGTGAGGCCTAATGGGCAAGGCCTGAAACAAAAGGAGGGAGGCAGAGAAAGCTGAGTTGTTCTGCATAATAGTGAGGGGAGTGTAGGAATTCTTTTCCAGGCTGCTGGGAAGAAGAAGAAGAAAAAAAGGAAGATTTTGAGGACACCACAAAGGACTTTTGGTGGGGAGTGGACAGACATGTGTCAGGAGACCAGAACCTCAGGAGGACTTCTATTCAGGTACTTCCTGTACTTTGCTCCAGTCCTTCTCTTATTCCCCAAACCTCAGTAACAACCACTACTCACAAAGTCCTTTGCATTAGAGATGCTCTGGGGAGGGAGGAAAGGGATGAGCAGGGGTGAGGAGAAGGTACAGAGAGAGAGAAGACAGCAGACACCAGAGGTGACACTGACTTGGCAGGGGTGTGGGATGGGTGTTGAGCAGCAGAAGCAAGATAACGAGGCCAGAGCAAGTCTCCCAGAAATCACTGTTTTTTTTTTTTTTTTTTTTTTTTTACAATAGGTGGGATGGGGTTTGAGCCATTCTGTCTTCCTATTGCAGGAAAGTATGAGTGCAAACTGATTCAGTATGTCTGGGTGGGGACTGAGATGGTGCCTCTCCAGCATGCCCCCAAGTGATGCTGATGCTGCTGGTCTGGGGACCATACCTTGAGTAGCAAGGATTTAGCATCCATAAAACCTCTGCACCCCCGTTGGTCTCTTACCTCATATTCCTCCTTGAACCCGTAGCCCTGGCCTCTCTTCATCTGCGTGATGTGCTGTAGCAGGTCAGCCACCCGGATGGCGGGCTGGAACTGGTCCCGGGGATAGCTCATCTCCACGGGGTCGCAAGCCCGGTAGGGGTGAGTCTGGATCGTGAGGGTAGGCTGGGACAGCTCCCCACGGCTGCCATCTGCTTCAAAGAGAGGGAGGCAAAACACACATCACCTATGAGAGTTTTGCCCTCTGTCCTCCCTGCCTCCCCCAGGGCGGGGGGAACTAACTCAGGACTCAGGTGATCAGGAAGCAGCAGGAAGAACAAAGACGCACTGCTTCCCTTGCATGGCTGTGGAGGTCGATTTAAAAATCAAAACAACAAACCAACCAAAGAACACATAACCCTTTGGGTTTGTTTCTATTCCAAGGGTGCGTATCGGAGCAGAGACAAAATTCCAAGTTGGCTGTCATCCTCTGTCTGTCTCAGTCCTTGACAAGGGTGGTCTTGGCTAATCCTGGCCAATCCCAGAACAAGTGAGAAGCCAGATGGCTGTTTAGGAAGGAGGATGCCAGGAAATCATCTCTGGTGCCTGCCTGCAAGTGAGGAGAGAGCCCCAGGTCTCTGGAGATCAGAGCCTCGTGTCTGCTCCTGGTCCATTTGCCTACATCCTCGAGAGGAACTGAAGCCAGTTGTGGACCCCCAACCGGTAGCAGGGACGCTAACCCTCTCAGCTGCTCTCTCCAGCTGTGGGCTCTGCAACGGTGATCGCCTTCTGCTTATGGTCTAGTTTCCCCACTGCTTAACACTCTTGATCCAGGAGTGTCGCTGAACCTACCTGTTAGGTTAAGGAAGCCCAAACCTCTTCCTTTAGTCCTGCTAGCTTCTTCTCCCAGGCCTGGGTCCTATGCCCCATCTCCTTTCTCAAATCTCTCCTTGATAGAAGGTCTATGCTCTCCTTGGTAATAGTTTTCATACCCACTGAGCTGTGCTGACTGGTCTCTTGGGAAACCATTCTGCTGGGGCTAGATGTGAATCCCCCTGTTCCCTTTGTACCAGAACCACCACATTCTTGCCCTACTGACTCCCTGGCAAGCATATATTGCTGGTCTTTCAGGGCTAGTTTGTCTTTCTCACAACCATCTAGGCTTGGTTTCCCGCACCTCCTCCCAGAGACACGGACAGTCTATGCCCTAGAGCCTCCTGGTATGGCATGCACACGGTGAGAACTGCCATATTTGATGTGACTCTCCCCAGATTTTCAGGTCCCACAAGATACCCATGCAGACCCCATTTCAGTCTATGCCATGTTCACTCCCTGGGAGGCTTTAGCATATATTCCTGACTTGCTGCAACTTGTCTTTTCAAAATTCATGTTTCCTTTAGCTTGTCTGTCGCTCATGTCACAATAATCCCCCAGACATTGATTCTGTATATAAAAGTGAAATTTTCTATGTGACAGCAAGAGCAAAACTGTTCCAAGCAAGGAAAGGATTGCCAATGGAAAGATCTAGAGTGTACAGGTTTCTGTACAAGGAGGAAGGGCCTAGGTGAGATGTTAGCACAGCTTTCCTGACCACCCAGAAGAAAAATACTGCTTACTTCTTCTGGAATTGTAGGTAACAGGTAGTACATTTTCACTGGCATTGTTTCAATGTAGAGCTTTGCAAATGTGGGGGCTGCTCCTCTCCACCACACCCATGGGATCAGGAGTCAGATTTATTGAGAACTCACTCTCAACGTGCCAGGGATGTGGTAGGTACTCTCAATGTGCAGCACACAGATTTCACCCTCAAGACTTGATAGTCTGGTATGGCAGACAGGCCAGAAGAACCATCTAAAGCACAAGAACAGAAGCCGGAGAGGCCAAGCACATTGAGGGAAGAGCAAGGAGGCTGGGATGGAGAGAAGGTGGTGGGTGGAAATGTGAGTGGGCAAAGCTGTAAGAGTTGATGAGAGCTAGGTAAAAGAGGCTGTAAATGGGTGAGAATCTCCAAGCCAGTGGGCAGCTGCTGAAGGGTTTTAAGAAGAATTCCTCTCTTTAAGGACACACTATTTTGCTGCAGGTGTCCCAGCTGTCATAGATATGAGGCCTCCTTCCAGTGAACATCACTCCTGTGATGCTATGGTGGGTTGGGGATGGGGAAGGGGCACTTGAGTTTGCTTCTCTAGATGCTGCACTTCACGATCCCCAGGACAGCATGAGCTGGAGTCCGTGCCCAGAGCCCTGTGTCTCCCACCTAAACCACCAGCGCATATGGGGACAGATGTCTTCGGAGACCCGTGGTCTCCCAAAGGCCCTGGGGTGTGGCCTGCCTGGGATGCCTGCAGAGACAGGCATCTTCGGAATGGGCCCCTGGCAAATTTTGTGAGAGGCCAAATGTTCCCCAAACCAATATGGGTATTTTCCCTAAACACATTGCTAGACAGACTGTAAACTTGGTGTCAGCAAAACCAACACTGGAATGGAAAACAAATGCATTTGAAATTTAACAACTTGTATCGCTGTAACATTTGTCATAACTTCAACGCGGGTGCTAATGATGCTATGAAGACTCAGAACCAAGGGGCTTTCAAGGTTTATTAATTCAACTAGTTGGACTCCCTTTTCCAATGTATCTTACCTCACCTATTCCCTTATTAACCTCTGATAATGCAGAAGTGATGCCTTTTATCACACCCCATTTCACCAGACGCACTATACTTAATTTCCCGTCATTAGGTTTAATGAAAACCCAATTTCACAACTCACTTCTCTCAGGAACCTACAAGTAAAGCTACGTTTTTATCAGCCCCAATTAAAAAGCGTTATGATGCTCCTATTCGAGAGGGAGCCTTAAAAGTAATGTGCGATTGGGCTGCTAATTCAACAAGGGCGCTAGAATTCACATGCTGCTCATAAAATGTAACTCAAACCAGCTGGCCCAGGAAGAGAACACTGCTCATTTTTCTCCTCACTAGACCCTTAATTTTCATGCCATTTCAACTTCTCATGTATGGGTCTTGCATGTTTATTTATCACATAATCATATTTTGGATGTCTTCTGCACCTTTTCTATAGCTGTTGCCTAAGCCTGTGAATTCCCCTGCAACTTTTGTGGCTGCCTGCAAGGGGCTTGTGGGTGATACGAATGAGATGCCCGGATCACCACTGTCCCTCTTCCGGTTCCCCTCCCGTCTGGACTTGACCTATTTTTTTTACCCCCCCTGCTACCAGTCATTATTGATCTCCCTCTAGCTCCAGCCACATATTTCCAATTACTTCCTAAGAATTGCCACTCCAACTGGTTAATAAATATTTACTGAGTACCTATATTGTGCAAAGCACGGTGTTAGATTCCACGTACATACATACAGGAGGGTGGAGGAAAGTGTGTTCCGTGGGAGATAAGCACGCCACAGCCCTTGCAGGAAAGAAGAGATAAGGTGTACATCAACAAGTCTAACAAAGGTGGGAAGGGACAGGTGCCCAGGATGTGGGAGGGTGATGTGCTGTGGAGCTGTGAACCCCAGAAATGTTTCTCAAGCTTTAGGCACTCACACCCCAGCTCCGTGGTTTTTGCACATCAGCTCTGTCTGATAGAACTTCCCACAGTGATGGAAATGGTCCATATCTGTGTTGTGCAATATGACAGCCACTAACCACAAGTGGTTCCTGAGCATGCGAAATGTGGCTAATGTGACAGATGAACTGAATTTTAAGTTCTGTTTAATTTTAATTAATTTCAGTTTAAACATCCACATGTGGTTTATGGCTACTGTATTGGGCAGCACAGATTTCGAAAAGAAAAAGGGAAATAGCACTTGAGTCACATAATAGGGCAGAGAGGTCCATGGAAATACAATGCAAGCCATATAAGTTAATTTAAAATTTTTTTTAAAATTTAAATTCAATTAGCCAACATATAGTATATCATTAGTTCCAGATGTAGTGTTCAATAATTTATCAGTTGTATATATTACATCACCTGTCCTCCTTAATGCCCATCATGCAATTACCCCATCTGCCCACCCATCTCCCCTCCAGTAACCCTCAGCTGACCTCGGCCGCAGCAACTTCTTGCTAGACAAGTCTCCAAAGGCAAGGGAAACAAAAGCAAAAATGAACGATTGGGACTTCATCAAGATAAAAAGCTTCTCCATAGCAAAGGAAACAGTCAATAAAACTAAAAGGTAACCTATGGAATGGGAGAAGATATTTGCAAGTGACATACCAGATAAAGGGCTAGTATCCAAGACCTATAAAAAACTTCTCAAACTCAACACCCAAAAAACCAAGTGATCCAGTCAAGAAATGGACAGAAGACATGGAACAGACATTTCTCCAAAGAAGACATACAAATGGCCAACAGACACAAGAAAAAATGCTCCACATCACTTGGCATCAGGGAAATACAAATAAAATTTTCTTAGAGCAATATTAAGTAAGGTAAAAGGAACAAGTGAAATTAATTTCAATAATACATTTTATTTGATCCAATACACAAAATAGTATTTCAACATAGAGTCAGTATAAAATTATTAATGATATATTTTACACTCTTTATTCACACTAGAACTTTGAAATCCAATGTGTATTTTGCACTTACTTTAGTGTAGTCTTATTTCAATTCAGACTAGCCATATTTCCAGTGCTCAAAACCAACGGGTGATTGGTGGATGGTGCGGGTGGATATAAACTTACCCAGAGCCAAGTCAAGTCCTAAAGAGAGCTGATTTAGAGCTACAGTGAACTTCAAAGACACTGATCTAGTGGAAAGCAGCTCTAACACAGCACTGCCCGATAGGCCATTTTACGATGATGGTAGCGTTCTGTGTTGGCGCTCTTCAAGATGGTAGCCCCTAGCCACCTGTGGCTACTGAGCAACTGAAATGTGGCTTGTGTGACTCAGGAACTGAGTTTTACTTTACCTTAATTTCAATTTAAGTTTAAATAGCCACGTGTGGTCAGTAGCTGCTGTACTGAATAGTGCACATCTATATGATTATGTCTTAAAATTTTTCCCGCAACTTTCCACATTTTTAAATTTTATTTCATTATGGATGATAATCAAACATGAAATCATGGGTGCAATATGCCAGTTTTTGTTTCATGCTCACTGGAACGTTTACCTAACTATTTCAGAACTGGCCTGACCATGTCCCGTGAGAGGAGCATGATCTACCCCCTGAGAAACGCTGTGAGTCTGGGTCCCAGAATC